GAAGGGGATGCGGGCTTTGCCCAAACTTCCAAGCCTAGGGTAGAAGGTACTCTGATGCGGATGGACCACATCCTCCATGCAAAAAGGTTTTTCATATTTCGTAAAGAGTAGTAGAGGGCACGCCGTGCGTTTATTTGATGTTTGGTGCTCCCTTTGGGCATGGTAATTTTGTGTCCAAGCATGAAGGATGTAGTACTTTCGCAACTCAAAAATCCTCGAGGAGAGCGCAACACGCTCGCAACGGGACCACGGCTCCGCCCAGTAGCCGGGGCGACGCCCAAATTTAATTTTTACTGCCACCCCATGGGTGTTTTTCTGCTTCTAATCCCTCTTTCGAATGGTGAGAGTGAGGTGATAAGGAGAAAGAGATGGCACCAATAAGTCAGAACTCGTCCGACCACGCCCTTTTTTCGCCTTATGCACGAACAAGCGCGGGTTCGCATAGGTTCTAGAAGGTGGGCGGGTGTTCATTGGTTTTTTTTCCTTTGATGTTATTTCCCACCTGTCATCACTATTTGAGCAGCACAAATCACAATTTTTGAACGCGGAGCGGGCCTTTAACCCACCCAGGGGTTCCATTCCTGGGCCGCGTCAGTGACACGCTAGGACGCGTCCGGCATGTCTTAACAAGTAACATTCATGTTGACGTCATAGAATGCCTATATGGGATTAGCGCCAGAATAAAACCTCGTAAAATTTCTTTCGTTGATTGATCGATTGGATTCAATGATGATTTGCTTCTTGTCGACTTCGTTGCATTTTTAACATGATTAATGAGGCAGTCACAGAGTTAAAGAACTTTTTCCTCTCGATGAAAAATGTATCTTTCAAATTCAGAACAGCGCTCTCATAAAAATTCACGATATAAATGTGAAGAGCAGTTTTCAGAAGCTACTACTGCACGAAACCGGAAAACATAAACTTTTTAAGTTTATCGGAAATGAAATGAATAAATTCGGCGTTGATTTTGTGAAAACTTTGATGCTAGAGGGGGACATATTGGAAAAATACTGGGCGAGCAAAACGGAAATATCACGGGAATAATTGGCGAAGGTGTGGCTGTGTAAAAGCGAATCAAGGGTGAAGAAAACGTCAATACATCGATAACAACGAGTTGCGTAAGAATGACGCGTCGAAAAGAGAGAGCACGAGGTGTTGAGAGCGAGCGCTGCTGAACCAGCTCCAGCTGTGAGGGGCAAGTCAGACTACGGGCAATTGTCTCCTAATCCTTCATCAACAGCTTTATTAAGCAGATTTATCATATCCCATCCGGGAGGGCTTTTATTGAGAGAATTGCGACAGTGTATTGCAAGATTAGCGCCTTGTTAAGCTCTCGGGCTAAGCGCTATCCCACTTTTAGTATCCCTTGATCGCTTGGAGAGATCTCTTCACTGATAGTTTTGGAAATGTGAGCATTTAAAACGTTGATTCCCCAGGTAGCTCTCTTGAATTTTACCTAGTTATTGACTTCTTTTCCCCAGTTCTTCAGGCTCCTTCAACGACAAAGAAGCCGAGATAATAGGGAAAGTATCCTATTTTGAAAGGTAAATTAAAACAATGGTGGATATAAATTGCTGAAGCTTACTTTCTTACTTCAACTATTTCGGTTTTTCAAACTCATCTCTATTTACATTCGCTGTTCTGAAACATCACGAGAACTGCTTCCGCGTTATTTACCCAATCGCCAAGGCAAAAGCCAATATGATGGAGAAATAAAGGAATTGATAGTGCAGTTCGGCTTGGAGAGGGCATTTTGCGCGTTCCATCGATCCGCTGCACGCCCGTCGGCAGACTTCTAAATTCCTGTAAGCAATGCAGTAGCATGAGTTTACACTTAACGAGAATCTACAGATCTCACCAAGGTGATTCTCGTATTTCAGCAGAAACTAGCAGAAGAAACTAGTGGAAGTGCAACATGCCCCTCTCAAGCCGAACGCATAGTTTTCTCATGCATGCTTTTTCCTCCAGATTGTTGCAATGCCCTGCACAATTATTGATTGCCATTGGCGTGCAAAAGCACTTTTTAGACGAGATCGAAGCGAGATTGCAGCTGTTGCTTCCCTGGCCTTACATTCTTTTGTGAATGTCTGCCGTTAGATGATTTATTAGCAATATTTTTTCATGTCGTTTCCCTATCGGCGCTATGAGCTGACATGTTCGTGGCTCTGGATTCGCAAATGAGCTGTTATCTTTCGAGGGAGATCCCCTTGGTCGCGCTTATAGTTCGCGCTTCGAGCGATTCGGTCGCGCGATATGAAAATTCTGCAATCACGTCCGCTGGAGCTCCACCGCGCTCCATCCTTAGACCGCCAAAGACGGAAAGAAAATTCTATCGAATATGATCAATCAGAAGGTTGTGGCGATCCAGCAGGTTGTCAGAAAGCGTAGACATACGTCGCAAAGTATTGTCGCAAGCAAAGTATGTGAAAGGCGTGCGTGATGATCAGCCTCTACCAACGTGAGGGTTCCGAAAGCATGCGGGTACCCTGGCATGTCTCAGACTTGACCTTTCTCGAATGAGAGATTATATCATGCTTGAAGAGCTCTTGTATCGTCACCTGAGTGTATAAACTCACATTCAAGTTCCGAAAGGTTTAGGCTGCTTTGTCATGCTGCTGTCATGGTGTGGTCTCGTCTCATTGAGATGATTATCGTATCTTATAAACTGCGAGCTATCAACTCACGGTCGCCCATGTTGATTAATTGTGGTCTATCCAACTAAGAAAGCTATCTTATCTGCATTGCTTCAGCGCTCTTAGGACAATCACTCATGGAGTACGTCCATATTCCTCTTGGACATGACAAAACGGGCGCAGTTTGGCGACAGGACGGCGGGGGGGGGGGGGTTTTGCATTCCGACCCATCTAAAAAAGCTTCTTTCATGAGTCAAAGACAACGAGTTGGACGGGTTTTAATGGTGGCTAGACGAGCTTGTCTCCAGCTTCACAAGTTAGGTACACCAGAATTTTTTAGTTTTCCGAGTAGTGGAACCTAACGTATATAGACAAATTCGCGCTATTCCAATTTGAATTACGGAAACGGAAAAGCCTCGAAAATGATGAGCGTGGTGGGCTATCGTCGGCTGTTGTCAACGAATTGAGAGCATTATTCGAAAAGAATCCGTGGCCAAGGTTGAGGGACACTGATTGGAAATTGAAGTTTTAAGCAGTACAAGTTGATACAAGAGAGGATTTTGAGAAGAGCTAGAAGTTGGTGCCGCACGAATTGATTCAGGGCGAGAAGCATTGTCGTCTCGAGATATCTTCCGCCCTACTTTTACGCAATAGAAACGACCCATTTCCAGATCGTATTGTGATGAGAAATGGATTGTTTACTACGACAACAATCCGACGGTCTGCCCACTGATTGGACAGTAATCAAGCTACTGAACACTTGCCGAAGCCGCGCAAGGAAGCAAGGTTTATGGTGAAGGTTTGGTGGTCTGCAACTGGCCTGATCCTGCACGCCTTCATGGATCTGGAGGAGATCATTACGGGTGAAAAGTACTGTCAAGAAGTCGACGAAGAGTACCCTAAACTCAGCTCATAAGCCCAGCACCGCTCACCAGGAAGGGCCATTTCTATTCCACGACAGTGCTGGAACCCACGCCGAGCAACTTACGCTTTGAACGAGCTCGGATACGAGCGTTGTAGCGTCTACCATACCTAGACCTAGCCCCGTTGTCCCCTCCGACTATCAGTCCAACATCTCAACAGCCTTCTCAGGGAGAAATGCTTCAGAGCCATCATGATGTTCTCCGATTACGCCGCATGTAGGTCTCTGACTTCTATGAAAGCGGAATAAACAAAAACCTCTGTTGTTGGAGGTAGTGTACTGATAGTAATGGCATTACTTCGGTTGGTGAATATGCCAAGATAATCGCATTTGGAATTTTAGTGCGGAAACCGCGAGAACTTCCTCCACGGCCTCACAAAATAGGTCTCTGCATGATGTAGGTCACTTGCGTGTAGAAGCTTTTTCTCGTTGAGTCATTCTGATAATGCCAAGAAGGAGTGGAGAAAGGTCCGCTGGTACAAAATGGACCAAACGATAGCCAACTGCTGCGCTCTATGTCGCTCAGTGTCCCTTGGTGTTCATTCGCCAGTCTCCTCCTTTGCAGTCTCTGATAGCTCAACGCAATGCCCTATCATTGGGTTGAGCTACAGCCTTCTGATCATGTTCCCCACTCTCGGTTGGCCAGCATCCACAATTGATGGAGAACGGGCTGGCCCCTCTCCTGAATCCAGCCCTCTGGTACGTCCTTGCATCCGCAGCGAACAAGCCTGTAAGTATTCTTCTACAGAAAATGCATTTTGTGAAGTTAGCACTCGTATTACTGTGTCGACGACTTGAGGGAATGCATCGTTTTCTTAAGATTTCAATGCCACACTTCTCTTATCAGATTTTGGCATGTGGTAGGTGGCTATCCTCTACGGCCTCTTGGTCTTTATAATGGGACCTGAACCCGCATCACTCACTTTCCGGGCGAGTGCGCTATCCGTTACGCCTCCGGGGCCACCTCGTAACCTCCCAGGTAGACTCTTACCTTCTTAACCCCTTCATCATAATGAAACGACATCAAAACCTAGACTTGTATCAATTTCTGACCTTCCGGTGTCCTTTGTTCTCATTTTGTGACCCTCAGCAGGCACATATGCACGTGCAAGCCGTGGGACACGATTTCATGGTCCACAGAAGGCTTCAAGGGTCCAATTTTCGGCAGTGGCGGTTGGAGAAATTGTCCAGCGATACTCCACTATGCCACCTTTACGACCGGCTAGTGCCTCTGCAAAAAGACGAGGGCCGCTGAAAGTGCTGCATGGGGTCGTCAATGACATTGTAATGATAAGATAAGCCCATGTCTACTAACACTACGCAAGGTCGTACTTGCTTTTTTATGGTCATCATTTTCATTTGCTTCTATGAAATAGCTCTATCCATCGATTAGATGTCGTCGTCTCTGTTTTTGAATTTTTTTTATTACAGATCACTACTTAGTCATGGATTTCCTTCACAAAGGATGGTTCACCGAATTTTCACCAGATGATTTGGAAAGGATGAAACAGGAAGGTTAGCGCTATTTAAAGGCAAAACCCGTGATCATTCGCCACCACTTATAGTTTGACTAAGAGTTCGCATATAGACGACAAGGTTGTGAGTAACTCGATAGTGAAGAAAAAAGCAAAAAAAAACTACTTGCTAATTGCCGCTAAGTAGAACCCCACATCTCCAATTCCTTCCATCTTCAGCAATAGCCCTCAACCGCCCACATGCTGATTGACCCATAAATCTATCACGAGCGTATAAGCAACGATTTTCATGCTCTTCCATCTTGCGACTTCGTGTTCACTGAAAGTCTCCATAGGGCGGAGCGTGGAGGACAGAGTCTGGACGCGAAAGTCACTGCGAACAAAAGAGCTCCCTAACTATATGTCCATTACAGTGCCCTCCCTTAGCAATTTTTTTGGCACGCAAAAAACGTACAACGTTTTCGTCCTGGCCGCACTACCCCCTCCCGACGCCATATTTTCAACTTCTATACCCGATCGCGGGCCGTACCTTTAATCAAACTTCGGACGTATGCCCCTAACACCAGATACCTCGGGAGTTAAGTTATGGATCTCATGAATCCTTCTGAAACCTCTAATCACCCGGTTGACTGTTTCAAAATCAAAATTGGAACTGGCTTGCCGTGTTAAGTTCTGAGCTACGTAAAGCGTTAACAAGAACAAACCTCCTAGGGTTGGGATGCGTCCACACATCCCCACGCTTGCTGAAATGGAGGTGTGTTTTCGAATTGAGTCTGGTCAAAACAATAATCGCTCCGGTGGGGCAAGGATAGAAAGCCTGGCTGGTGTGAGCGGGAGCCGATCTGAGATTCAACGGACCAAGTAGGATGATAAGCAGGCCACTTGCGACTACACCATCGTCTGTCAAAGAGTTCAAATGATGGCGGGAGAGATGAGGGCTTGACCCTGCCTGCAGGGATGGGAAGGCTTGGTTGGCTTCTCCGACTCCTTCTGGGGCTTGAAATCACACTGGTGAAGGGCAGCCAACTTGCCCCATTGTACCACCATCAGCCTTAAATAGAGTTGCGTCACTTCAATTCATAGAAACAGGATTTGCTAATCAAGGTATGCTAGTTTGAAAATTCAGTAAAATGTTTCAGGATCCAGTGAGTCGAAGCAGTTGAAGTCCGACGGAGAGGTGATGGGTGGAGCCTGGCCAGGCCAAGCGTTTTCACTCAAAGTAAAAGAAATCCTGTTCCACGAAAAAAGCGAATACCAAGATGTTCTAGTGTTCGAGAGGTAAAGATCCTTACAAGTGCAAATTTCAATGTTCTTACAGTTTTATCCGTTGGAGCTTAAAGGGCGCCTTGGCTAGAGATGTGTTATCCTGCGGGTGCACGTCAGGAGATCCGAACTGCGGCAGCGCAGCGTTGCGGGTGAAGCCGCGTTTGCGACTTTCACAGCAGAACCTACTGTATTCAACGCGGAGGTGCAACAATGAACCGAGTCAACTAGCTAGGAAATGTCGCAAGCGTCGACGTACATGCGTGTCAGCGGTGCATGGGTTTGCTTGGCGCAGTGCCAGCCCTTCCCCACCGCTTATTGAGCACCCGCAAGCGCAACGATCGATGGAAAGAGGCTGGCGTTGCGTCAAAATCACTGGACTGACATTAGAAATAGGTACTGTAGCTTCTGTTTATTGCCGTAACTCGGATCTCTTGACCAGCACTCTCTCATTTGCATTGCAGTGGGCGCGACTGCTGGAGGCGGGCGGCTGTTGCCAGCGTCATTGGTGGAAGGGCTGCGAGTGGGCGATTAGCCCTATCACACTCAGCTCTTTCACCAATGACGTTGGCGACAACCGCTCGCCGCCAGCCGGTGAAAGGGTGGAACGTCGTTGAGCAGTTAATCCTCTTTCAGTGAATCTTACGGGAATGTACTGGTATTAGATGGTATAATACAAGCTACAGAACGAGATGAGTTCTCATATCAAGAAATGCTCGCTCACCTGCCGATGTTTGCCCATCCAAATCCGAAGAAGGTGCTATATTCGAGTTTTTTTCAATTCTTATTATACATTTAGTTTCAAATAATCATATTCAATTTCATAATTCAAAGTTCAAGTAGTTCCAGGTTTTGATCATTGGAGGTGGTGACGGCGGTATATTGAGAGAAGTCCTGAAGCATCCCTGAGGTCGAACATGTTACCATGTGTGAGATCGATCGTGTTGTGATTGAGGCGTCAAAAAGGTAAGTATTTTTAGTAATACTAGTCGTTCTGCCAAAAGCCTTGATCACCTTGCGACGTACATTCAGGCGTGGATTACCTGCACTAGCCAGCAAGAGATTTAGCTCATATCCCGACGGTAGTGTGGGCGTGGCTACGTACTTAATTCGAGGGTGGCGTCAGCTGCCCTTCTAGTGGGATATTTTTTAAGGGCAATCACAATCATGTCTTTGTCCAGTACAAGTCAGTATAACAGTTCTCTCAAATGAAACGATTTCACAAAATATCCCACGCCA